GGAGGCTGAGACAAAGGGCATTTAGAGACAGTGTGCCCCCCCACTCCCTGCACCGTAAGCATCGCTCTTGCCAGTGTGTCTTGTCCAGGCTCCCCACATTGCAGCCTTTTTCCAGCTTAGGACTCTGCACATTCATAGCTGGTCTCCTTTCACCAGTGTTGCCAGCAGCAACATGCACTTCCCACTTTGGCAAACTTTGTTCATCCATGTATGGGGCTCGTTCTGGTGATAACAACCCCTCCAGCCATAGGGCTCTGTCTCTCATTTCCGCAAATCTTTCTTCTTTTCTTTGCTTTGACCGCCCCATCTTCACAGTCACTTCACAACACTTTTGCACAGTCCAGCATCAAAGAAATGAAGTACTGTCTTTTTAAGGCAGGTTCTCCTCACCTGCACACACAAATTGTGCTGTCCATTGCACAGAAACACAGTTCATATAACTGATGAACTTACTTTTGCAGGGATTTCCAATTCTGCCCACTGCATCCTCCACCATATGTGGGAACTCGCTTCAAGTGGTAGAGCTCTTCTTGTTAAACACACAGCAACTCGCTTTCTTTTCAGGGCTTTTTTGCCCACTTTTATTTAAGAAAGTTCAAGAAAACACAAATGCTTCCCACGCAGGGGTATCCACCATCAAACACAACAATATTCAGCCTCCTGGCTTGCACGCAGTTTTAAGTCTGCCTCCTGCAGACTCTTCCAAAATATGGCACTAGCACACAGCTAGTCTGGCTTCCACCTCTCCTAGGTGTAGCCCACCTGACTCCACGGCAGAGACCTCCCATCTGCCTGGGTGGAGTCCTCCTAACTGCCGGGGTGGAGCTCAGACTCATGGCCTGGCCTCCACAAAAAGGCCTGCACACACCTGTGCAATCAACACACTGGCTGCTCCCAAAATATGGGCCCAGGATTGGGGATTTCATCCCTCCCAAATCTCTTAGAAATCTCCAGGCAACAGGTCCCAAAACAGGCTTTACAAACCAAAGAGGAAACTTATAAACCCGTTTCCTCTGCATTATGAGAACTGCCTGGAGCCCCTCAACCTGCATGGTTGAGAATCCTGGGTCTCCATCATGATTTCCACCGTGGCAGGATACCGCACTGCCACAATATATATATATATATATATATATATATATATATATATCATGCCAAAAACTGTGTTTTACTTAGGGATAGTGGTCACAGGCAATAGGCATCCATTTATCATCACAAAGTTGTTTGGCTCCTTTTTAAATCAAAATGATAACAGAAATCACCCAAATGACCCTGATCAAAAGTTTACATACCCTGGAATGTTTGGCTTTGGTACAGACACACACAGATTAAAATGGCAATAAAAGTTAATCTCCCAGTTGAAGATGGCAGCCACAACTGTCAGAAGAATTGCTTGGGATACAAAGAAAAATCCACAGGTAACCTCAGGAGAAAAACAGGCTGCTCTGGAAAAAGACAGTGTAGTTGTTTCAAAAAACACAATATGACAATATTCGAACGAAAATGAGCTGCATGGTCGAGTTGCCAGAAAGAAGCCTTTAGTGCGTTAATGCCAAAAAAAAGCCTGGTTACTATATGCCTGACAACACCTTGACAGGCCTCACAGCTTCTGGCATACTGTAACCTGGAGTGGCAAGACCAAAATTGAGCTTAACCTCCCTGGCGGTATGATTATTTCAGATTTTTGGTGCTGAAAGCGGTACCATTTTTTTGCATGGAAATATGTATTTTTTTTATTGTAGGCTGTAATTTTTAGGAAAAACTCACTGAAATCTGTCCGAACAAGAGTCTAGTAAACATCCCGGGTATGATAAAATTTGAAACACAAAATCATAAATTATAATTTAATAAATAATCATAAAAATAATATAAAAATAATAAAAAATTTAATTCAATAATATAATCAAACCAAAAACACTGAAATGTGAAATAGAGCGCCAAGTTCGCACATTGCTGAGCTCAGTCGCAAAATCGTTTTCAGTTTCTGATGACGAATTTCCCCCACGAATCATTATCACTCAATTCTGTAAGTGGTTCTGATTTACTATCGCTGCTCTCTAGCTGATCTAAACCGCTTTTGACCTAAAGGGACACTTTTTGGACGCCATGGACATTTCTCAGTTTCCAGGCAGAAAGAACAGACAAAATGCAGGCAGGGCGCAGGACAAAGCACTAGGGACAATATGTATGTGAAATAGGTTGAAACAGCAATGTTTTACTGTGTAAAATGAAAAAAAAAAAAAAAATGACAAAATTTTTAAATTTCCCGCCGCCAGCGGCGGCGGCGCCCGTACGTCCCGACGTCACAGGGACAGGACACAGAAGCCGTATGCCGGCATCGGCCGGAAGAGATGGCCGGGGACGCTGCAGGGGACACACATCGTGGGAGCGCAGGGTAAGGTAAGTGAAGAACACATGCCGGAGCAGCGCCGCATGGTATTCCCAAGTGTAGCTCGGGGTTACCGCTTTTGGTACTGAAATGTTACCCCGAGCTGCACTCGGGAATACCGCCAAGGAGGTTAATGGTCACAACAACCATAAGCGCTATCTTTGGAGAAGGGTCAATAAGGCCTTTTGCAACAAGAATACCATCCCCACCATGAAGCATGGTGGTGTCTCATTGATGATGCACAGGGAATCTTGTGAAAATTGATGGCGAGATGAATGCAGAATGCTATCAGAAAATACTGGCAGACAATTTGCATTCTTCTGCATGAAAGCTGCACATGGGATGCTCTTGGACTTTCCAGTACGACAATGACCCTAAGCACAAGGCCAAGTTGACCCTCCAGTGGTTACAGCAGAAAAAGGTGAAGGTTCTGAAGTGGCCATCACAGTTTCCTAATATTAATATCATCAAGCCACTCTGGGAAGATCTCAAATGTGCGGTTAATGCAAGAGGATCAAAGACTTTTCATGACCTGGAGGAATGTTGCCAAGATGAATGGGCAGCTATACCACCTGCAAGAATTCGGGGGCCTCATAGACAACTATTACAAAACACTGCACACTGTCATTGATGCTAAAGGTGGCAAATACACAGTATTAAGAACTAAGGCTATGCAGACTTTTCAACAGGGAGCATTTCATTTGTTTACTTGTTGCCATGTTTTGTTTTTTTGATTGTGCCATTCTGTTATGACCAACAATTGAATATGTATCCCAAATGAAATAAAAGAAATGTTTTGCCTGCTCACTCATGTTTTATTTAAAAAGGGTACATACTGTACAGTATATTACCAATTATCTAGGGGCAAACTTTTCAACACAACTGTACATTTAACACTCCCACCCCACCCAAACTGACAATGCTGCTGTCTGTTGTGTCCTGTGCTCATTCCTCCAGAGTGTTGCCTCACTAATACAAGGGGTGTGTTACTGGCCAAATCACCAGGTAAAACAGATGAAAAAAGCCTAAAAAATAAAAAAAATTATGCAGCCACCACGTCTAATGATTGGTAAGCTGCAATATAATACATTTTTGCTTTTGGGTTTAATACTGCTGTAAGCGCAAATGCTCCTTCTCCTTGTTTCCAGGCGTGTTAGTACATTACGGTACATAAAAAGTAAAGGGAATCTGTCACTGCTTATTTGGGAAATAGTAGTAGGTTCTTCTGACAGCCAATTCCCTCATCCACGGATACTCAGCCTTATTACACTCCCCTGTCATGTATTAGAGTTGTGGGTCTAATCCATCTGTAAGTTCAGTTACTGTCACAGCTCACACGGGGTTAAAGAGGCCTTTTGCTTTTTCTAAAGTTCACATCGGGGTGCATTTCTACATGCTAATGAGAAATGATAGGACATTGATTTATTTTTACTTTACGTCCCTTTTTGCATCCACTTCATTGTCCCCCTGAAGGTACTAATGACGTAGTCCCAGCTGCACAGATACCCCTTTGGAAGGCAACACCACTAGTGCCTTCAGGGAGATCCCGTACCCGTGTCTTGTAAGATCTTGCAATATTCTCGTACTGCATATGCGTGAGTTAAAGCACATGCACCATACAGCATTAAATTAATTTGTTGATAAAATAAAAACAAATATATTTTTTTTAAAACAGATGAATGTAACATCATACAGCTCATGGGTGAGACAAGGTGCGTGACATCATGCACTCCATCTTGAGCATACATCTTCAAAAATGGTGGACTGGGAGCAGGAGCACCGGCTGCACAGGAGTAGCCTTAGAAAGAAACCACAAAAAAGAAGGGCAGCATGGACATAGCTAAGTGTACTTATTTATGTACTCTCTTACATATTATTTCCATTTTCTTGCAGGACTAGGGGGTATCCTTTAATAACCTGCTCCCCTAGCCCACCTTATTTTCTATGCTCCTTTATACCTGGAAGTACCAGGTTTTCTTCAGGGGGCTCTGACAGATGAGTGGAGTGGCAGGAGAGAATGGGGATGGTGAGTATTAGTGAACTGGGTATGAGATCATTCAAGAAAATCTCTCATGTTTGCTGTTGAGTCTTTCATCGACTTACTAAGCTTACTAAAATAGAAGAAGAATTTTTTGTCCATTGTATTTAAAACAAGCACCAGATTTTTGTAAACAATACCATCAAATTCTTTTGCAACAAAGTAGCCTTTTTTCAATTTTGGATACTTTAGACTTTATCTGTGTTGCATAACTGTTTTATGAACAAGTTCTAAAGGTGGTAAAATCTAGTTTAGGCAGGCCCAGCAAACATACACAACTTACAACCAAGAGGTAACCACAATGACTATGTACAGAAAAAGACCCTGTAATACAAGAAAGGAGGGAACAGGGCCGGTCTGCAGAGAGCTTTATAAAGAGGGCACGTGTGACAATCTGTCTCTTCCCAGACATCTTTCAGAAGTTTCTAACCTCCTTTCATGACTGTTTTCTGACTTTCTATAACCTGGTTTATCTGACTGTCTGCTTAGATATCTACATATAGAACACATCTTGTCATTGATCTTGTATAATTTAGTTTCTTAGCCTATTCTTTCTTCATCTTCTTCACTACTATGGACACCTCTTACCCCCGTGAAGATATATTTACATCACACCCAAATAAGCCAGCTAATTCTCACACCGTTGTCAATATAGGGGCCCCCGCAGCTCCAAGGGACCACTTATTGTGGTCTGTGTGTAACACTGTGTACCTGAATCTCTTCTGTCTTGGATTCATGGCGTTGGTCTACTCTGTCAAGGTAAGGAAAGGAAAAATAATCTCTTAATCTTGGCATCAGCCCAGAAATTATAAAGACCAGTCATAATCTTGTAAATGTCTTTGAAGAGTTGTTGCTACCTTTTATTATATTTTCAATATATATTTTTTATATATTTTTTAATATATATTTATATATATTTTAAATTCTGTAATACTCATACTTTTGGAAGAGAGTTACTAATAACAAAAGAAAGTTGAATTAGAAAAAAGAAAATACAGTAGGGTTGATTTACTAAAGGAGTAGAAGATGCTCACGCATCAAAGTGAATGTTGGTAAAAAGGTAAAGCTGTGTTCATTCTGAACACCCAATCAAAAATTCTGCTTCCGAAAATTGTTTTGCATATGATTGGATAATTCAACCCGACATTTGCTTTGTTAGGGAAACAGCCTGATTTCTCTATGGGAAATTGCCTCCCATAGCTGCCTTAACTTAGTAAATAAAATTAAGCAATGATGACTTTGAATATCCAATCATGTGCAGGGGAAATAAACAGGGATTTGGATATACTTGATTGGATGTTTAAAGTAATTATGGCTTCACTTTATTCAATATATTTATTTATTTAATGAGCATTCTCTGCTGTTCAGTAAATCATTTTTATTTGTTCTGTCTGTACACTTGATGGGGTTGATTTATTAAAGTCAAATAGGTTGTTCACTTTGCAAGGGAATTTGCATTTTGCAATGGAATTTGCAGCAGAGCTTAACGAATGTCATGAAGCTCTGTGGATTTCCATTATCCAATCATGAGCAAGCAAAAATGCTTTTTTATCTTCCTTTTCATGAGATTGGGTATTCTGCAAGGTTGAATTTTACCACATTCACTAAGCCCTAAGGCAAATACCCTTGCAAAGCAACTAACCTATTTGCCTTTAGCAACTCAAACCCGATATATCACCACTGGTAGAAAAGAAGAACCCCCGTTCTATTGAATTAATTCTTGCTTGTTGATATACATTAGAGCTTAGATCTTATTCACTTTTTTGGTCACTTAATTTTTCTCATATGTTATATGATTTGCTAACAGTCTTTTTAGCGCCCCAAATAATAATTGTATAATTATTTTCAATGTATAATTTCCAACCTAGTTGCAAATATGTATGATGGTACAGAATTAAAGCAGTAAAATAGATTTGCTATTGACTATAACTTACTGGTAAACTGGAAAATGAATGTTATATGCCACTGTATAACATAGACTTTGTATTAATAATTTTAAATGGTGTCAGTCATGCCAGCTGTCCAGGAATTACTTTCTGAACAAAAGGATGTATTTAGAGCTGCAGTAAGAATGGTTGCCTTCTTCAGACAACAAAGTAAGCTGTTTTGGGAACAGATGCTCTTCAAAGCTTGAGTGAGAATATCATCAAAAATAATTTAGAGTCTATTAAAGTTTACTTTAAAATGGAAGTGGCCCTTTACTTGCTTTTATCCAACTTTTGGGGCATTATTCCCCCCACTGTCAGCAACAATGGGGCACTAGTCCTCTCACTGACACCAATGAAGGGACACTATTCCTCCTAATGACGCCAATGATGGGGCACTATTCTTCCCACTGACACCAAAAATAAGACACTATTTCTACCACTGTCACCAATGATGGGACACTACTCCTTATAATGACACCAATGATGGGGCACTATTCTTCCCACTGAGACCAATGATGGGGCACTATTCCTCCCACTGACACCAACAATGGGAAACTATTTCTATCACTATCACCAACGATGGGACACTATTCCTCCTAATGATGTCAATGACGGGGCACTATTCTTCCCACTGACACCAACAATAGGACACTATTTATATCACTGTCACCAATGATGGGACACTATTCCTCCTAATGACACCAATGATGGGGCACTATTCTTCCCACTGAGACCAATGATGGGGCACTATTCCTCCCACTGGCACCAACAATAAGACACTATTTCTAACACTGTCACCAATGATGGGACACTACTCCTCCTAATGACACCAATGATGGGGCACTATTCTTCCCACTGAGACCAATGATGGGGCACTATTCCTCCCACTGGCACCAACAATAAGACACTATTTCTACCACTGTCACCAATGATGGGACACTACTCCTCCTAATGACACCAATGATGGGGCACTATTCTTCCCACTGAGACCAATGATGGTGCACTATTCCTCCCACTAACACCAACAATGGGAAACTATTTCTATCATTATCACCAATGATGGGACACTATTCCTCCTAATGATGCCAATGATGGGGCACTATTCTTCCCACTGACACCAACAATAGGACACTATTTATACCACTGTCACCAACGATGGGACACTATTCCTCCTAATGACAGCAATGATGGGACACTATTCTTCCCACTGAGACCAATGATGGGGCACTATTCCTCCCACTGACACCAACAATGGGAAACTATTTTTATCACTATCACCAATGATGGGGCACTATTCCTCCCATTGACACCAATGATGGGGCACTATTCCTCCCACTGACACCAATGATGGGGCACTATTCCTACGCCAAATACCAATGCTGGGGCCCTGTTTTCTCCCACTGGTGCCAGGGCACTTTCTTCTCCCACTTACCACAGTTTGGCACCCCTAAAGTTTGAAGGACAGTAAAGTGTTTTTTTGTTTAGAAAGTTTGGAGACCCCTTGTCTAGTGGAAGGGGAGTGTTAGATGGGCTAGCAGATTTACGTACACTAAATAAATTGAAGTCAAACTCCAGCTCACACTAATACGCAGTTACAGCAAACAGTTTTGTTCCTTTTGAAATAAAGGTTTTACATAAATAAATAAAAGCTGACCATTGTAAGTATCCATGTCAGTGGCAAACGGTTTGTCTGAAACTTGTAACTGCTACATCTTGAAACCTGACAGACTTGCTGACAAGATCACCAGGTAAAAATAAAAAAAAGAAACCATGGAAAAATGTAACTAATACAGCCATCACATGTAAGAATTGGCAGGCTTCAATATAATAAATGTTTGGTTTTGGGTTTAAAACCAGTTTAAGAAAAATGACATATTTGGGTTAATATACTAAAACTGTAGAGTGCAAAATCTGATGCAGCTGTCCATGGGAGCCAATCAGCTTCTAACTTCAGCTTATTAATTTAAGCTTTCACAATAAAACCTGCAAGCTGATTGGTTTCTATGTAGAGCTGCATCAGAATTTGCACTCTCCAGTTTTAGTAAATCAACCTCATTGTGTTTGTTGCTTGAATAATCCCACCTCTGTTCCATATCTGTACATTCTACAAATGTATTCTAGGCTTAAAAGGCGCACAAACAAATAAACACAAGCCTTGCGTGGACATTTTAGTAATAACAGACTGACAATGTGCTCCACTGAAATAGAGCAGCCCATAATTACAGGACTGGTTTATGCTCTGTTTTGTGTCTCTGCTACTTTGTGGCAATGTGTTTATGTAACCCAACAATTTACTGTCTTCTGCTATAGAATATTCCTCAGTTTTCCGGACACCTGACCAGTCACAACTGCCACTTAACAGAAACAGAGTAAAAGACTTCACTGGGTCTCCAGGATCCAATGGAGGAAGATTCACATCACTGTCATGTTATATGATAGGCACCACTTTTTTAGTTATAAGAAGAACTTAGAAAGAATACTGATCACCGCAATCAAACAAAGAAATGAATAAATGCATAGAATATATTACGTGCCATCCTCTCTAATGCATGAGCACATAATAACCACTTAGAAGTACCCTTCATGTTTACTATGTGGCTATAAATGAAAGGCATTATACAAGTAATTCACCTATATAGAACTCATTTATATAGACTGATCTAGATATTCATCTCATTTAATTGGAAACAACTTCTGATCATTATGACATTTTTACTTTGCAATAAGGAAAGCTAAGAGAAAATTCACCTTGCAAAGAATACCCAATGTTGCAAGAATAGTTTTTTTTAATTCTTTATCTATATCATCAAATTGCAAAAACATCAAAGCAAAGGTTCCCAGGTAAAGTGAAGAAGGGTTGGCCACACACCAGAGGAATGATGAAAAACATGCAAATGTTTTATTGATCCATAGGACACAGGCATGGCTGTCAACGCGTTTCACACGATCACATGCTTAGTCTTTGGTTATGACTAAGCACGTGATCTTGTGAAACGCGTTAACAGCCATGTTTATGTCCTGGTTCTTTTTGTACCCTATGGATCAATGTAACATTTGCACATTTTTCATCATTCCTCTGGTGTGCGGCCAACCCTTCTTCCTATTTTGCATGATATGTGGTGGCGAGTCCGAGTTTGCAGTTGTTCTGGTTTGATGCTGATCATTAACCTGAGCGGTATTTCCTCTGTCCATCAAAGTTCCCAGATACACATAGAAGGAGTATACTGTTGTCTCCCACATATACAAAGCGATGAATCAGTTGTTATCCAGAATGGTCATAGAAACAGTACAAGAAACCTTGAATATTTAAATTAATAATAATAAGAAAGTTCAAGTAGGCATAATAATTATTTAAAAAAAACAGAATTAAAAACATTCTTCGTCACTAAGCTATGTGAATATTCACTTTGCAAAGTTCACTTGGCTTAGTGAGTAATTTGAATCTGTGTTGATGTCAAACATCCAATCATGTGTGATCAAAAATCCTGTTTTATACCCAGCATATGAATGGGTATTCTTTGCAAAGTGTAATTTCACTTAGTTTTACCTCATTCGCTAAGTTAAGGTAAATTTTACTTTGTTGTGTGGAAATGTTCTTGCAATTTGAAAATGCAAATGAACCCTATAAAACATGCTCTAGTAAGTCAGCCCCATTACATTTAGTTATAGCAGGTGTAAACAGAGGCACACATTAAGAATTATTAGCAAATGTCTGTCTGTACACATCCTTGGCAAGCAGTAGCTGTACACCTGCGCTAGTTCTATTACCCATCTAACTTTCTACCAGACACTCAGTTTTGACTCTTTTATTTGGTAGTGATGTTTTAGTCCAGCTGGCAAAGGCTACACAATCAGGTTGACATTTTGGGGGAGATTTACTAAAACCGATGCACACAGAATCTGGCACAGCTGTGCTTAGTAACCAATCAGCTGCTAACTTCTGCTTGTTCAATTAGACTTTGACAATAAAACCTAGAAGCTGATTGGTTACAATGCATAGCTGCACCAGTGTTAGTAAATCTACCCCTTTACATCATGTGATTGGGATTCCAAGAGTGCCCTTTTAAGCCCTGGTTCACACTGATGCAGTGCGGAATTTGCAGCGTTTTCAGTGCGAATTCCACACCGCATCACAGTTGTTCCCCATTCATTCGAACTGATCGAGTGAGTATGTTGAGTTAACAACACCCTGACATCGGTCTGCAAAACACGGTGCGATGTGCAGAATCAGATGGCATAAGTGTGAATACCAATACGATCCGATTCTAGTGTGGACCATAAAAGGGTCCTGCATGTTTTTGGTGCGTGTGCAGTGCGAATAGAGCCATACAAAATGTATGGCTCCAATCACACCACACACAAATCGCATGTGATTTGTACAGGAATGCGGTGCGGTTCCTTTGCGAATCACATGGGATTTACCACACTGCTGTAGTGTGAACCCAGGCTTATAGCATGCATGTCTTTCTGAGATAAGATGAGATAAGATGGCAGAATACTCAAGAAAAAAAAACAAACATTCATCCCTGACCACATGCACAAAGCATTAGTTTAAAATGTGATTTTGTGCATCTCACCAAGCAGCAGTTATTCCATAATCACACATGAAAAAAGTACACCCTTTAAGCTAGGAATTGGAATTTGTATGAATCTAAATTTCCACTCTAAAGATTTTAAGCCAGTGCCCCCTTTTTTTTCTTATGATCAACTATGTGTGCTGTTATTCAGTTGTATTCTCTCCCCTCCAGTATCAGGTTGCAAGATTGCCATAGTGGCTGATCTGTCTCTTGTATAAGCTGAGGGCTGGTAACTTAAGCTATGTCTAGGCTTTGGAACCTCAGTTTCCTTAATCACCTCACTTTTCTCAGCCTATGAACAAGAAGAAAAGGGAAATCTCTCCTATGGACACACACAGGGCATTTAAAATCTGACAAAACAATGTCATTAATAAGGATACAAACAGATGTTCTAACCCTTTCCGGCTCTATCCAAACATGCTTGGGCTGGAGTTGGGTTTTAAATTAGACCTATGACTTCCCATAAAAAAAAAATATGTGACTATAAGTGTATCTACAACTAAATTTTTTTCTTGGAAGAAAGCATATACTCACAAACCAAGAGTCAAGTAAACAAACAAGGAACCAATGTGACAGTCCCAGCAAACGGTGGTCTTGAAGAAGGGTGTATGTTTCCCGAAACACGTCACATACCCCGTTGCAAGACCACCGTTTGCTGGGACTGTCACATTGGTTCTTTGTTTGTTTACTTGACTCTTGGTTTGTGAGCATATACTTTTGTAATTTTTAATAAATTCCCTTGTTATCGCGGCAATGCACGAGGAGAGTGCGCCCCTTTTTTGCTTTCTTCCAGTAATATCAAGATTCCCCGATATTCAAAGGGCTGCACCTCAGCGAGTGACTGTCACTGTGTTCCTGGGATGCTCACAGACTTGAGCGCTGGTTCTGCTTTTTTTTTTTCTCTTGACATTTTACAGGTTTTTCTACCCTACAATGTCCTACAAAAACATGGTACACTTCCCAGTGAAGTCCACCTAATACAGCTTTCATGGGGCAACTATGCAGTCCTACTCCTGAATTCAAAGAAGAGTTGCCACTCTCATGTAGGCTGTGTCTATTTTACTACAGTGGGATGAAAAGATGTTGCGGGAGTGTGGCTATTAGCACTGTCACAGCTGATTCACTGTCTCTGTTGCCCAAACCCTCCCCCTGTGAGCTACAGTGTCTGCGAAGGGGAGCATGTGAGACACAAATAAAAGAGGATTTGGCTCAGTGGAAGGTAAAAAAAGGCTTTAGTCTTTATTATGAGGTTTGTTCATCCCATGTTATAGTGGTATTTAGGTTAAAAAAAAAAGGTCCCCCTGCAAGTTACCGACATAATATGCAAGTATGGACGTTGTCAGTGCTGACATGGCTTCTATCTTCACCCAGTCTTCCTTCTGGGTTCGCGGGCTGATTGAATGGCCAAGTCATAATGACGTAACTCCTGCGTATACTCTTGTGTGTTGTCCATTGAGAGCGTAGTGTGCACGCATTGGTGACGTCACTGGCTGCTACAGAAATGAATATCTCCTAAACTGTGCATACTTGGGAGATATTCACTGTACCTACAGGTAAGCTTTATTATAAGCACATCTGTAGGTACAAGTGACCAAGCGGTGTTTAGTATGGCTTTAACTGCGTTTGGTACTTGTTTAGTCTGTGATGCAGAAGCCTTAGGTTGTATTTTAACTAAAGTTGAGTGGAAGAATTACTGTTTTATGTAATTTATAACTTTGCAAGGAGTAATCCCATTCTTATCTCTTTATAGGCACGAGATCAGAAGGTACAAGGAGATGAACGTGCTGCCCGCATCTATGGCAGAAAAGCACGTTGCTACAATATCTTGGCCACTATATGGAATATCACCCTGCCTGTTATGCTGCTGGCTCTGTTCATCACAGGCATTGTGCATCTATCACAGGTTGTAAATGCTTCCCTTGACCTCTTCAACCTTCGAGGCTACATGGGCAGTACCGAAGATGACAAGTAACCCAAAATCTATTGTGTGAGAATTAAATCAGATGGGCAACAACTGTGTGTACTTTGACAAAACAATATATAAAATGTTAATGATACCAAACATTTCACATTACTGACCAGTCACACAGCCACCATGAACAGTCTGGCAGCAATCCTAGTATGCAGAAAAGTCCACATAACATAAAAAGAAGAGAAGACTTGAACATGTAATTTATGGGAAGAAAATATCTCACTTCTGTAAACAAAATCGCATAATTCATCTTCGGAGAAATCATTTTACAATGGATTTTGGGGAAATTACATTGACACATTTTGAAAGAAACTATGACCAGGAGATTGATTGTTTCATCTTTTTTTGTGCTCATAGATTTAGAATTGATGTTTTGATCAGTACAACAGAAAAGAGATCCATCAGAATGAGAGAACAGTAAAAAGAGCTAAAAACGTTCCTGATATTAACAATGAATTAAAGGCTATGTACTACAGATGTTATTTTTTATTAGATTGTAAGATCACAAGTACTACTAAAACATCAAACTAGCTATTGTATATTCAGAAATGTAGTTGGTCAATAGCACTTCAGATGCATACAAAAAGAACAGTAGTCTTAGTAATGTTATGTAATCAGTTTGCATATCATAGTTGGATTATAAATTAATTAAAAATAAAATAAATCAAAGACTTTTTGTAGAATCAATATTTTGGTAGAGTATGAGGCCTGGAAACATGGCCTAGGGGGCAAACACAATCAGCCAGCCCTTTCATAGTAGGGGCAAATTTCCATGTGCGTTAAAAGAAATGTACAACGCAAAGTGCACCATGGATCCTTACTGAGCCTTGGGCATGGTGAAATGTTCCCAAAGGACATGGTTTACTGTGAAACACCTTCTCATTTTCCAGCATTGACTTCCTTTGTTGCTCTTGGTGTTTGGTCACATGAAATCTCAGAGCTGCAAAGGAAATCACGGCTGTAAGACTACCCTCAGCCTTGTGCTGTGATTGCAGATATGCGGATTAGATATCTAAAACCTAGCAGCTGTCATTAGCTGCAGACACTTCAGGTTTGAAATGGTAAAATATCTCTACTCAGGGCCACCAACTTAGCATATCTTATTAGTACTGGCCCATGAAAATACAACTGCCACCCAAACTAGTCCTCCCCTGTGTGAAGATGGCATATACTGTAAATGACTAGAGGGAAAGTGCAACCAATTAAATTTCAGCTATAATTTTTTCAGGACAATACTCAAAAAATATATGGGAACATGTGCATCACGATTAGTTTTTTAAACTCCAGTGAGAACTGTGACCTAGATATTTTAAAGGGCCAGAAAAAATATAAGACATTAATCAGCTATAATTTCTTTTGTAGAGTTGATCAACAGTAAAGTACAATTCCTATTTTTCAATGTTTAAATTAATGTTAGCAATGATTCATAATCTCTGGGCTTTTTTTTTATTAGAGGGCAAGTTTACTCAAACGAGATTGCTTACTTTTTGGCAAGTTTTTGCACTTAGTATATTTATATGGCCTCAGGGAAAGAGGTCTCGTCCAAGATACTGACTCCTACCCTCCACCATGGCCATGTCAACCTTGACTGGCTCCATATTAGATATCTGTGTCACCCCTTACCCATGAAGGCTCCACAAGTAAATTAAATCCAGTTCTGTCCACATGACGTTACTGTTTGATAATATCGAAGAGACGGAATGGTTCTCATAGAACCAGCCAGAGTCTAAAATCTATAAGTGAATAATCAGAATAACTCTACCACATGCAGTCCCTTGCTGCTAACACAGTCTAATACTAACAGTAGTAGTCAGGAGTAATGTATGTCAAATTCCAGAAATGTTCTAGGGCTGCCACTGGCCTCCAATTGCAAATCACTTTATTATATTCAAAGATGCACAAATGTGGAGAGGCTTTAATAAAAAAAGACCTGATCATTTTGCAACTCTGTTTCTTTGGATATGTGCTTTGTTGCAGTTGCTAAGGGGGCATTTTCTCAAGTTCCCTTTTTTTGTTATCGACATTTTGTACAGTATTAGATATTTTCATCCTTATGTATATAATTGAAAGAAAAGGGGTGCTGTTGCGCTTTGGAAAAAAATTACATATATATAAAAGGATTGACTATATATGAGATACTTACAGTGGGGCAAAAAAGTATTTAGTCAGCCACCAATTGTGCAAGTTCTCCAACTTTAAAAGATGAGAGAGGCCTGTAATTGGCATCATAGGTAGACCTCAACTATGAGAGACAAAATGAGAAAAAAAATCCAGACAATCACATTGGCTGATTTGGAAAGAATTTATTTGCAAATTATGGTGGAAAATAAGTATTTGGTCACCTACAAACAAGCAAGATTTCTGGCTCTCACAGACCTGTACCTTCTTCTTTAAGAGGCTCCTCTGTCCTGCACTCATTACCTGTATGAATGGCACCTGTTTGAACTTGTTATCAGTATAAAAGACACCTGTCCACAACCTCAAACAGTCACACTCCAAACTCCACTATGAGGAAGACCAAAAAGCTGTCGAAGTACACCAGAAACAAAACTGTAGACCTGCACCAGGCTGGGAAGACTGAATCTGCAATAGGCAAGCAGCTTGGTGTAAACAAATCAACTGTGGGAGCAATAATTAGAAAATGGAAGATATACAAGACCACTGATAATCTCCCTCGATCTGGGGCCCCACGCAAGATCTCACCCCGTGGGGGCAAAATGATCACAAGAACGGTGAGCAAAAATCCCAGGACCACACGGGGGGACCTAGTGAATGACCTGCAGAGAGCTGGGACCAACGTAACAAAGGCTACCATCAGTAACACACTACGCTGACAGGGACTCAGATCCTGCAGTGCCAGACGTGTCCCCCTGCTTAAGCCAGTACATGTCCGGGCCCGTCTGAAGTTTGCTAGAGAGCATTTGGATGAAGAGGATTGGGAGAATGTCATATGGTCAGATGAAACCAAAATAGAACTGTTTGGTAGAAACACAACTCGTCGTGTTTGGAGGAGAGAGAATGCTGAGTTGCATCCAAAGAACCCCATACCTACTGTGAAGCATGGGGGTGGCAACATCATACTTTGGGGCTGTTTCTCCGCAAAGGGACCAGGACGACTGATACATGTACAGGACAGAATGAATGGGGCCATGTATCGTGAGATTTTGAGTGCAAACCTCCTTCCATTAGCAAGGGCATTGAAGATGAAATGTGGCTGGGTCTTCCAACATGACAATGATCCCAAACATACCGCCCGGGCAACGAAGGACTGGCTTCGTAAGAAGCATTTCAAGGTCCTGGAGTGGCCTAGCCAGTCTCCAGATCTCAACCCCATAGAAAACCTTTGGAGGAAGTTGAAAGTCCGTGTTGCCCAGTGACAGCCCCAAAATATCACTGCTCTAGAGGAGATCTGCATGGAGGAATGGGCCAACATACCAGCAACAGTGTGTGCCAACCTTGTGAAGACTTACAGGAAACGTTTGACCTCTGTCATTGCCAACAAAGGATATATAACAAAGTATTGAGATGAACTTTTGATATTGACCAAATACTTATTTTCCACCATAATTTGCAAATAAATTCTTTCCAAATCAGTCAATGTGATTGTCTGGATTTTTTTTCTCTTTTTGTCTCTCATAGTTGAGGTCTACCTATGATGCCAATTACAGGCCTCTCTCATCTTTTTAAGTGGGAGAACTTGCACAATTGGTGGCTGACTAAATACTTTTTTGCCCCACTGTATATAGCAGCAGTCCTAATTGTGAATTTCTAAACACAAAATCTTAAGTATTTAAAAAATGGACCTCGCTAAGGTCACAAATTCATTAAATAAACTGTGCAATCTTTGAAGTGATAATGAGCAAAATTCAAATACAATATTAATATTCAGTCACAACATGTGAATAATTGGTGCAACGGTGCTGTATCTTTAACGGTGATACTCCATGAATTAAAGAAAGAGATTCTGCGGATAGGTTTCTTTTATACACATAACGAGTTGTCGTTAGGAGCACTTTCTTAACCTTCCTGAAGGTAATCCCGAGTATGGCTCGGGGTTAATTTACAGTACCAAAAGCGGTAACCCCAAGCCACACTTCAAATTACACTGTAGTGCTTGTCCTGTGATCCCCTGATCCTTACCTTGTCCTGCGATCCCCCGATGTCCTCCCGCTGTGTCCTCCAGCCGATGCTGGCATCCGTCTTCCGGGTTCCCTTCCCTGCAAGCATCGGTACGCAGGGGGACAGAACTGGCGGGAGATTAAAAAAGTAAAAATATGACATACACACAATACATTGTAATCTGTTAGTATTACATTACTGTATCAAAGCATTTCACATACATTTTGTCCCGAGTGCTTTGTCCTGTGCCCTGCCTGCACTTTTACAGTTCTTTCTACCTGGAAACTTGAGAACGTCCATGGCATCCAAAAAGCGTCCCTTTAGGTCAAAAGTGGTTTTAGACCAGCTAGAGAGCAGCGATAGTGAATCAGAACCACTTGCAGAATTGAGCGATAATGATTCGTGGGGAAATTCGTCATCAGACACTAAAAACGATTCTGCGATTGAGCTCAGTGATGTGCGAACTTGGCGCTCTATTTCAAATTTTAGTGTTTTTGGTTTGATTACATTATTGAATTAAATTTATTATTATTATTTGTTATAATTATTTATTATATTATAATTTATGATTTCGTGTTTCAAACTTTATCATACCCGGGATGTTTACTAGACTCTTGTTTGGACAAATTATTATTATTATACAGGATTTATATAGCGCAACAGTTTGCTCAGCGCTTTACAATATAACGGGAGACAATATAGCAACAATACAGTTCAATACAGGAGGGTTAGGGTTGCTCCTTGGAGCTTACAATCTAGGAGATTTAAGTGAATTATTCCTAAGAATTACAGGCCTACAATATAAAAAACAACAAATTTCCATGCAAACATATTGATTAGTTATACTGTCGGGGAGGTTTTAAATTGACAGGACTAATCTGTGTACCACATGAACACATAGCCAGTCTGTGGGAGCCAGAATTATTGTTGGCTGATAAGGGATCAAATACTTATTTTACTCACTGAACTGCAACTCAATTTATAACATTTGTATCATGTGTTTTTTCTGGATTTTTGGTTGATATTCTGTCTCTATCATTTAAATACACCTATAATAAAAATGACAGACCCTTCATTTCTTTGTAAGTGGGCAAACTTACAAAATCTACAGGGGATCAAATTATTATTTTTGCCACTGTATTTCCACAATACACGTAACTTTAGGTGGCACCAGTTAGCATAAAATCACTGAATTGGTACAAATTTTCAAAAATTAAAGAACACTGTAATTTTGCACCACACTGTAAGCACCTGTTTACAAACTATTCAGTCTTTGTCCTTCCAAAGAGTTTGCAATCTAATGGCCAAACATGCACAAACACAAAAATACATGTAAACTTACTTACTTACTAAGGCCAATTTGGGAGAATGTCTTCAACCACCAGTATGCACTGCTGAATCAAACCAGAGCAGTCAGAGGAAGTCAATTCAATCATGGGAGGAACACTCAAGCTTGGAAAATAATGCTAACCTAATAAAACCATACTATTTTGCACATAATAAAATAATTCATTCATCCAAATGCATATACTATGTGGTTATTATTTTGCAGTAGAAGTGGGAGAAAAAGGGACTCTTTGCTCCTTGTTTTTTTTTTTTTATTGGCCTAAAACTTTTGCAATTTTTCTTGCTAGGGACAATATATGTGCACAAATACTGCACTATGTGGTCCTCCCAAAAATGTAAGTGAACATAGAAAAAATTAAAGCACTCCACAAAAGAAAAAAAATCTAGCAATTACAGTGGCCAATACTTAATAGTAATGTGTTTTGAAACCCTTGGTTTCATCATTATTTCTCCTGAAAAAAAACTTGTTTTTATGTTGTTCAGCCAAACAGCCATCCTTTTATGCACTAAAAAGCAAAGACATTATACTGTGGTTCAAAGTATCCATTAGAACATTTTCTGTAAGAACCAAGTGTCACATTATCGTTCTCAAGGGCCCCTAAAACAATGTGCTTACATAAGACCTGTGTTAAATGGATACAGTTTTGCATAATCTGAGAACCCCAAAAAATATCATGTAAAATTCTTAGGCATCAGTTATTAACCCTGCATTTTATTGTCTATGTATTGCCGCATTTGCCCATTTGTTGCCCGTGTATTATCCCCATTACTGGTTTAATGTCTGCATGTCGTAACAACAGCCCATTTGTTGCCCATGTATTTTTATAATTGCTTGTTTATTGCCCACATACTGTCACGATTGCCAGTGTGTTAACCACGTGTGGTTCCAATTGCTCTCAAAAATGCCAGTTTGATACCCACACGATTTCTCAATTGCCAATGTGCCATTAATGCTACAAAGTTGTCAACATATTGGCACAATTGCCAGTGTGTTGCCTGCATAGTGCATATGTTTTGTCCATGTATTACCACATTTTAGTGCTTTAGTGCTATCTGAGTATTGGACAAAATTGGCACTGTTTGTTTTTAGGACCATGCTACTATACAGGCCCCTGTGGGCCTGTCACTATATTACCACACCATTAAAAAAGTCTCAGATACCCTAACAGACTTGCAGGCAGATACTGGCTGATATAATAAAACTCTAAAATGTGTCACAGATGTGACCCTGAATCTGCAACCAGACATTTGAAAAGGACAAATGAAATGTAAGTAAACCAGACCCCCTAAATGCTTTACTTCCATGTAATGCAACACAGTTAATTGAACAATCAGCCCTGACAGATTTTACATGTCAAGAAACTATTTTTGTGCATAGGTGAACATCTTTAAAGTGATCCTGTGCTTGGCCCATGTGGTGCAAACAAACAGGTCTAAACCAGTACAAACCCCTTAAATGCTTATGCTTACCTTCTGTCTGTTGGAACTATGTGTAAGCTCTAAATCACTCTGATTGGGCAGATAAGATGGCAGCTCAGTCGGTTGTAGACTAGACGTTCAAGGAGTTTGGAGGCAAAGGGGAGTAAGGAGATGGGTCTTAGGTTGCCAAGAATGGTGGGATCCAGTGAGGCCTTTTTAAGTATGTGTGTGACTAGTGCATGTTTTAGACAGTTGGGGAAGATGCCTGTAGAAAGGGAGAGATTGAAGATATGAGTTGAAGAGTGAAGGATAGAGCCAGAGGGTGATTGTAGTATTTGCAAGGGAACAGGAACCAGGGAACCGGTGGTTAGGTGGGTTTTTGAAAAAAGTTGACCAACCTCCTCTATAGTAGCTGTGTTAAATAAGGGAAATATAGATTGTTCAGGTGGACAAGGAGTGTAGGGTGAGGGAGATATCTGTATAGTGAAGATCTCATCACCAATTGTATCAATCTTATTTTTGAAGTGATTAGTGATCTCCTAGGCAGTGAGTGAGTTAATGGGTGGCGGTAAAGAAGGACGAAGTAGAGAGTTAAATTGAGGGGGATTGCGTGAGAGGGTGTTAATGAGAGTGATAAAATAGGTCTGTTTGGAAGTGTGGAAACAGGAATTGTATTTTTGAAGGTCAGATTTATACTGGCTGAAGTCTTGCTGAGTCTTAGTCTTACGCAATAAACGCTCAAGAGCACAGCTACGTTTTTTGAGGCATCTGGTATTGTCTGTTTGCCATGGCTGTAGCGGTCGGGGCCTAATTCTGTGTGTAGTGAGGGGGGCCAATGTGTCCACGGTGGATGAGAGTGAACTGTTGTATACAGTAGTGGCCAGGTTAGGGGAGGACAGAGATGAGATTTTGTCATAGAGACAATCTGTTGCAGAAAAAGAAGAGAAGGGTTAAGATAGCGAGGTTTCTACGGGTAACTGTTTGGTAGTTGGAAGACAAAGAGGAGGAGGCCAAGGACAGAGTGAAGCTAATAAGGGAGTGATCAGAGAGAGGAAAGGGAACATTGGTGAGGTTGCAAAGAGTGCATAGGTAGGAGAAATACAAGGTCGAGGCAGTTACCATTGGAGTGAGTAGAAGCATGTGTCCATTGTTTTAGGTCAAAAGAAGTGGCTAGGCTCAGAAGTTTAGAATTAGCAAGAGTGTTAAGATTAACAGGGATGTTGAAGTCACCAAGAATGATTGTGGGGATTTCAGAAGAGAGAAAGTAAGGCAGCCAGGTCAAGAAGTCATCAAGGAAGCTTGATACCGATCCAGGAGGCCATTAGATCACAGCAATTCTTAAAGAAACTGGAGAGAATAGACAAATACAGTGAACTTCAAATGAAAAGAGGGACAGAGAGGGAGGTGAATGAAGGATCTGAAAAGTGCTTTTCGGGGATAGGAGGATTACAACTCCACCTCCATTCTGTCCACTAGGTCTGGTAGAGTGAGTCCAGAGGAGACCACCATGGCAGAGGGCAGCAGGAGAGGTAAAGTCAGATTCATGATGTCAGGTTTCCGTAATTGAAAATGGGCTAAAGGAGTTTTGTGATAAAAAGGTTACAGACAGAGGAGAGCTTGCTACAGATAGAGCGGGCATTCCAAAGGGCACAGGAAAAGTGGAGGCTGGTTCAAGGAATAAGAGGAATAGTAACCATATTGTGTGGTTTTCGGCCACTGTTAGAGGATAGGGGGTGCCGTGTGTTGGTCAAAGGAAAAAGATGGCGGCCCAGGCGTTGGGGAAATATCTACCGATGTTAGGAGAAGCAGAAGGGTGAGAGAGGTACCGTATATACTCGAGTATAAGCCGAGTTTTTCAGCACATTTTTTGTGCTGAAAAACGGCCCCCTCGGCTTATACTTGAGTCAACGTCAAGGGGGGCATGTACAGGGGTGGGCAGAGGGCTGCTGTCTCTTACCTGGCTCCCACGATGATCCATCCAGGAAGCGCTGCTCCTTCCGTCACTCCGGCCACTCCCTCACTCCTGCGCTCGGCTCCGCCTCCTCACCGGTGATTGGCCGCCAGAACTGTAGCTCAGGAAAGGTACACAGGCGGCCAATCACGGGCGAGGAGGCGGAGCCGAGCGGACCCGCGAAAATCGAGTGAGGGAAAAGCCAGTAAGTGTGCAGTGCAGAGGTGCTGCTGCAACCACATATGCTGGCTGCAGCAGCACCATACTGCAACAGGGGTCAGCAAGTGTCATTGGTGTCAGTGGGAGGAATAGTGCCGCATCATACTGTAGTGTCACTGATACTAATGATGGGGCATTATTCCTCCCACTGACACCAACGATGGGGCACTATTCCTCCCACTGACACCAATGATGGGGCACTATTCCTCCCACTGATACTAATGATGGGGCATTATTCCTCCCACTGACACCAACGATGGGGCACTATTCCTCCCAGTGATACCAATGATGGGGCACTATTCCTCCCACTGACACCAACGATGGGGCACTATTCCTCCCGCTGACACCAATGATGGGGCACTATTCCTCCCACTGATACCAATGATGGGGCACTATTCCTCCCACTGACACCAATGATGGGGCACTATTCCTCCCACTGATACCAATGATGGGGCACTATTCCTCCCACTGACACCAATGATGGGGCACTATTCCTCCCACTGATACCAATGATGGGGCACTATTCCTCCCACTGACACCAATGATGGGGCACTATTCCTCCCACTGATACTAATGATGGGGCTTATACTCGAGTCAATAGTTTTTCCCAGTTTTTTGTGGTAAAATTAGGTACCTCGGCTTATATTCGGGTTGGCTTATACTCGAGTATATACGGTAATATGGGAGCATGACTTATTTGGATGGACAGGTCCTAGTGTCCGGGAGGTTTTATTAGTATGTGGGTTCAGAATTAGCAGGAGTTGATGAGTCCAGTAATAAGGTGAAGACAGGAGTGAGGATGATATATATAAGCTGTGGGGTGGAGAAGAGGGGTGAAGGAGAGGGAGTTTGAAGAGAGAGGATACAACTGTGAGAAGGAGGAGAAAAAAGTGCATGTTACAGAGTGGTGAGATGAAGAAGCAGACTGGGTAAGATCTAAATGGGGAAGCAGGTCACCTGTAGTCTGTTTAGTATTTGAAGTTGTCTGCTTCTCGCTTTGTGCTTTCGCTGAAGTGCAGAGCCGAAGTGCAATGCTCAAAACTTAATCCAAGAGCAATACTTTATCCAAGATGATAGTTGCCAATGCTACCCTTGGCTGTGCCTCGCCTAAAGAAGGCCTAAATGTATACTGAGTTGGGTGGGGGTATTGCCAATTAATCAATTAGTAATGCATAGGAGAGACACATGTCTTGCAGGGCAAACTTCACACACCAAAAGAGGACTACAAGAGTAAACAAGAGAGCAGGAGGGCAGAGTTGTAAAGATTAGGATCAGCTCATAAATTTGGGTTAGACAATAAGAGCAAAATAAACACCACAGTAATATGGATAGAGTTAAAGATTTTGGAAGCAGTAAGAATTACCAATAAGAACATTGATAGTTATGAATCAGCTTCAGTTAGAGGTGGATTTTAAAAGCACTATAGATTACCATATACAGTATCAGTGCAGGGTGAATTAGCATTCATACATGGCATACATAACACCTCCCAATCCCAACTAACCTTTGATTTACAGCAACAGGGAGATCATAGGAAAAGAGCGGAGGGTCCTGTGTCCTGGACTGTACTCTAGGACAGAGGTCTCCAAACTTTCTAAACAAAGGGCCAGTTTACTGTCCTTCAATCTTTGGGTGGCCGGACTGTGGCCAGTGGGCGTAGAAAAAGTCCTGGTGTCAGTGGCAGTAAAAAATGCCCCATGACTGGTAGCAGTGGGAGGAATAGCGCCCTTTCATTGGTGTCAGTGGGAGGAACAGTGCCCCATCATTGGTTTCAGTGGTAGGAATAGTGCCTCATCATTGGTATCAGTGGGAGGAATAGTGCTCCATCATTGGTATCAGTGGTAGGAATAGTGCTCCATCATTGGTATAAGCGGTAGGAATAGTGCCCCATCATTGGTGTCAATGGGAGGAATAGTGCCCCATCATTGGTATCAGTGGGAGGAATATTGCTCAATCATTGGAATCAGCGGTAGGAATAGTGCTCCATCATTAGTGTCAGTGGGAGGAATAGTGCCCCCCATCTTTGGTGTCAGTGGGAGGAATAGTGCCCAATCATTGATGTCAGTGGGAGGAATAGTGCCCCATTGTTGGTGTCAGTAGGTGGGTCTAAGCCCCACTGTTGCTGACAGTGAGGGAATAATGCCCCAAGGGCCAGATAAAATGAAGCAAAGGTCCACATCTGGCCCTCGGGCCGCAGTTTGGAAACCACTGCTCTAGGAAATTAATTTCGGTGATAAAATGAGAATCCCATTTTCTTAATTGTATTGTACAGGACACAGGCTTCTTTAATCCTTACACTGAGACATTTAAAGCAGTCCAGTTTAGGGGCAGGCAACAAAACAAAAAAGCCAACAGGTCAACGTAGCAAACAAATGGTTAAAAAAGGCTCAAAACCTCAAAGTGCAGCCAGTAACATCTTATGCCAAAAACTGTAGTCAGAAGAGGCTTAAACAGTCACCTGGTAGAACTTAATGTGGTTCTAAAAGCTGAAGGTTTTTTTCACCTTCATGCATTCTATACATGAAGGTTAAAAACTATCTTCATGCAGCTCCACCCTCAGCACCCCCCTTATACTTACCTGAGCCTAATCTCGATGCAGCGATGTGCACGAGAGCAGCAGCTCTCCTGGGTGTCTCCCTCCTCATTGGCCCAGACATAGCAGTTTGCTCTGGGGGCCTTCAGCAGGGGGGGGAGAGACCAGGAATGCAGGCTTCAGTTTGGGATTCTCTGGTGGGACGGAGATCCCCAAGAGTCACCGGCTGGCGGCAGGCGGGGGGTGGTCCAAACCTTTACCTGTAAAAGCAATCCAGTGGCTAATTAGCCACTTGGATAGACTTTACAAAAAAGCCAGCCGCAGTCAGAAAAAAACAATAACGGGATGATGCCTGCAGCTTTCGATGATGTCTGCTGCAGAACTCTGACCACAGCCATCTGTCCAGCTTTTTCCTACTAATGGTCCTGGTAGCAGAATGGAACCCCACTGTACACATGACTTTAAACTCTTGAACATCTCCCTCGCAATTAGAGGCAATTCCACCTATACCAAGTGCACATTTCTGACAAGCTGCTTACTGACTTTTCCTTTGTTGTCCATGGCAACCACATGTAGAACTCGCACTAGGATGACTCTTTACGTGCTGGCTCTCCATACCTCATATGCTATTGGCCCATACCTTAGACAATAGGTACCGGTTACTTGCATTACACTCCTTTAAAGAACTTCAGACTAGGCAGAAAGCAAAGTTTTAATACCTTACTAAATAAAGTGCACAAGGTACAAAGTCCCTAATCCTACTGAGGCTATGTGCTGCCCCAGAGTACCTGCAAAGGTAGAGTCCATGCGAACAAAGATCCATTGGTGGTATTCCCCAGTGGCTGGTGTTTTCAGGGCGAACCCCAAGTTGGACGGCTCTCACATCTTTCAGGCTCCTTAGTAGCTGATGGACTAGCAGCAAGGCTCTTGGACTCCTGCGGGGAAACTCTCTACAACAACACCCCCTGGGCTCTGAAATAGGACCTCAGACTTTGGACTCCCTGGGCTCAGTGGGTCAGACCCAAATATCCCGCCAAAACCAAAAACCCAAGAACAAGGTTAACTATTACCTTCCCATCTGGGGAAACACCTAACTAACTAATTCTAATCTGCCTACAGGCTTTAAAACCACTTTGTCCTTTTTGCATCACCAAGAAGGGCTCCTTACAGGATAAGTCTGCTAATTCACAGATTCATCTGGTGGATGTGACCAAAAAAGAAAAATGACCTTGCATGAAAAATTAGACAAAGGAATATCCTTAATAGGTTCAAAAACCAGATTGCAGTCCCAAGGAAACATATAAGAAGAGGAAGTGAGAAGTGAGCTTTACAAAAACTTTTATCACACAAATAAAAATGGCTAATTTCTCTGTGCATTCTTCTTTCTTGTTATATATAATGTGACACTGCAATACCCTGTCATGGTGTGAAAAGGTTAAGAGGAACTTAGGGTTCTCATCCATACAGTTTGAGGGGCTCTAGGATCTGTGTTCGATACCAAGGTAATGGGTTGTTCAGTGTCTTCTGGGATTAGTGAATTCTGCTATAGGCCCAGGAGTCTGGAGGCTTCACACAGACCTGGGAGAGATGTAGTCCCCAATCGTTGTTCAATGTTTTCCCAGTACTCAGCTAACTGATTGGGCCGGTGGGCATAGGCCTAATGGTTAGGATGTTTGTAATCATTTAGGGCCCCTTCTTCCCCAAGAAGTCTGTGTGGCTGCAAGGGAGCAGATGACATGCACACACTAAAGGTGTGTGATGGTCTGTGTGGAAACAGATGAAGGGTTCAAACAGACCGAGATCGAGACCGAGAAGTTAAGCATTTGTGTTGCTATGGAATAGTGATGCTGAAAACAGCTACAAAGATAATTCTTTTTGTGTGAAACTTTTTGGGAAACATATATATATCCCTATATATATATATATATATATATATATATATATCAAAAGGAAAAGTGCTGGTACCCCGACATGTTTTGCAATATAGCTTCTTCAGGTGTTTACAGGGTGCACTTGGATACAGAATAGCAAAAAAAAACAAAACATAAATGTGGCTTGGACTGATGGTTACACCACACTGCGTAGCTTGAGAGGAAATTAAAAAAAAATGGATAAATGTGGAGCAAAACAACCCGCAATTCAGCCACTAACATGAAAGGCAATGTATGGGGGGAAGATCCCACATCACCACCAGAAGTATATTACCTGATGGTATAAGTGTCTTTAAGGAGATGGAGGACCACAATCATAAACTCCTCTACAGCATATGAAACATCTTTGAACACAGAGGAAGGGCACAAACTCTCCAAACGCCATAAAAGGAATAGCCACCAATTGAAAGTGGAGTACCCTTTAGAGGCTGGCTTCACACCTATGTGTTATAGTAAAGTATGGTAAACCAGAAATTTTGCCATGCATTGCTGCAACACACAGGGGTCAATTTACTAAAACTGAAGAGTGCAAAATCTACTCTGCATAGAAACCAATCAGCTTCCAGGTTTTTTTTTGCCAAAGCCTAACTGAACAAGCTGAAGTTAGAAGCTGATTGGCTACCATGCGCAGCTGGACCTGATTTGTACTCTCCAATTTTTTTAAATCAACCCCACGGTGTCATGCCATTTATTCAGAAATGGCACTCCCTCTACCTGCTGTGAAAGGGGATGGATCACGCACTAAATATGTGCTGGTTTGTGAACAAGGGAGAGCCCTCATGCCTGTTATACTCAAAGGGCAACATGTCCCAGTTTTTTATTTACAGGAGAGGCACTTTGGTCAGGAGAGTTGGCGGAAGCAAAAAAATACAGATTTTAACATTTTGTGGTTAAAGAAGAACTGAACTTTGGAAGTATTTCCCCTCAAAAATGCACAAGGGTAAAGCACCAGTCACCAATATTGCCAGTAGTCTCCAAGAAACGGATCTTTCCCCCCAGTGTTGATTTACTATAAAATAAAATCAGTAACAACCTGAGCTAGGTGCAACGTATATATATTGAAAGAGCAGCTGTCAAAAGTGTGGGCAGCAAGCAAAAAATATTATGAAACAATATACAACGCTAATTCACACTAATTCAAACATATCATATATAAAAATAATCAGGTACAGTCCTCAGAATAAGTCCATAATATGCAACTGGGAATTATATATGACCCATATCCATGAAGACAACAGTGCCCCAGAAGAGAATGAAATCCTCCACACACACAGCCTCTTACCAGAAAGGATGACCACTAATCAAGTGGTCAAGACAACGTATGAGAATATATCAATGGTATGGGATCCCAACAGTTCGCGGGAACTCGGATCTGCGGATTGAGCATAATGGATTGGAGTCCGATCCATTATCCTCCCCAATCCGCAGATCCGATCCATCCTGCTCTATACACCACCACATTTTTGGCTCTATACACCACCACAATGGATTTGAAATGAAATGAGCAAGATGTGCTTTAACTGCAGACTGTCAGCTTTAATTTGAGGGTATTTACATCCAAATCAGGTGAACGGTGTAGGAATTACAACAGTTTGCATATGTGCCTCCCACTTGTTAAGGGACCAAAAGAAATGGGACAGAATAATAATCATAAATCAAACTTTCACTTTTTAATACTTAGTTGCAAATCCTTTGCAGTCAATTACAGCCTGAAGTCTGGAACGCATAGACATCACCAGATGCTGGGTTTCATCCCTGGTGATGCTCTGCCAGGCCTCTACTGCAACTGTCTTCAGTTCCTGCTTCGTCTTGGGGCATTTTCCCTTCAGTTTTGTCTTCAGCAAGGGAAATGCATGCTCAATCGGATTCAGGTCAGGTGATTGACTTGGCCATTGCATAACATTCCACTTCTTTCCCTTAAGAAACTCTTTGGTTGCTTTTGCAGTATGCTTTGGGTCATTGTCCATCTGCACTGTGAAGCGGCGTCCAATGAGTTCTGAAGCATTTGGCTGAATATGAGCAGATAATATTGCCCGAAACACTTCAGAATTCATCCTGCTGCTTTTGTCAGCAGTCACATCATCAATAAATACAAGAGAACCAGTTCCATTGGCAGCCATACATGCCCACGCCATGACACTACCACCACCATGCTTCACTGATGAGGTGGTATGCTTAGGATCATGAGCAGTTCCTTTCCTTCTCCATACTCTTCTCTTCCCATCACTCTGGTACAAGTTGATCTTGGTCTCATCTGTCCATAGGATGTTGTTCCAGAACTGTGAAGGCTTTTTTAGATGTCATTTGGCAAACGCTAATCTGGCCTTCCTGTTTTTGAGGCTCACCAATGGTTTACATCTTATGGTGAACCCTCTGTATTCACTCTGGTGAAGTCTTCTCTTGATTGTTGACTTTGACACACATACACCTACCTCCTGGAGAGTGTTCTTGATCTGGCCAACTGTTGTGAAGGGTGTTTTCTTCACCAGGGAAAGAATTCTCTTTCGGTCATCCA